ATATCCGAGCGTTTGGTCGCGGTCGTGAGAGAGAAAAAATTTTTGGTTTGAAAACGAAAAAGGGAAGGAGGAGGCGGGAAGGGGGAGAAAAAGGAAAAAAAGTCCCGATTGGACTTTAATATTCACTCCCTAGGGATGGAAATTTTTACGGTGCGTAAAATGGCAAATATTACTCGCAACTTTTCACTTGGAATAATTATTATAATAAACTCAAGGACACGTAAATATCAACGTGATTACGTTTTTTTTCGTGAAAAGGACGCAAGTGTTTCCGGTTAAAATTTTTTTTTTTTTTTTTTAATTTACGGAATTTATTATATGAAAACTCGAAACGGTGACGTCATATTGGGTCATTTTCTTAAAAATTAAATTAAAAAGTCTCGAAATTTAATCGTTGAATAAAGTATATTAAAAAAAAAAAAAAAGTTTGACGTCATAAGTTATAAACTTTAATTAAAAAATAATAATAATAATAGAAAACTTTTTAAGTTTTTTTTTTTTTTTTTAAATTTTTTTCCTCGGGGGTTTTTCATTCTCCCCCCCCCCCAAAAAAAAAAAAAAACAAAATATATATATTAAATATTGTTAATAATAATTGAAAGATAAAAAAAAAAAAAAAATTAAATTTTCTACAACAACAAACAACAAACAATGACGATGACGATGATGACGATGATGGCGACGACGGTAAATAATTCGAGTTAATAAAGCTTTTAACCTAATAACGTAATAACCTTTTCATTCGAAAACAAAAATGATAATAATGATAATAATCGTCAGAAAAAAATAAAATAAAAACAATTTCCCGTAGGTATTTTAATTTTTTAATGACCCGATGTTTTTTTTTTTTTTTTTACATAATCAAATAATTAGATTAACTTTTAACGAATTTTTATGAATGCAAAAAGGTCGAATTCGTTTTTTTTTTTTTGTTATATTTTGTAAACTAAATTAATATAAATAAATAAATTACAAAAATATTAATAAATTACGTATTTGTTTAAACAAAAAAAAATTTGTTATTGTTTTCACTTTGATCATTTATTATTATTAAAAAAAAAAAAATATTTTTTTTTGTTTATTGTGTTCGATCGACAAACGCGATTTTTAACGGTTCAATGATTTTTTTTTTTCCTATTGAAAAGTTTATTAATAATAATAATTTTTTACATTTACGTTTAAATCAAAAATAAATTAAACGTACCGGAAGAGAGAGAGAGAGAGAGAGGATGACGTAAACCAAAGTCGTTTAAAAATGTAATATTTAAAATGGCGGACGTAGTTTTTCCAAAACCGATTCAAAACAGAAAAAAAATAATAAAAATTTGGTTAAAAAATTTTTTTTCAGATATAGTAATAATAATAATCGTAAATAAAATTTTATTAAAAACGCTGATTTTGGTATAAATAATTCCGGAGGGGGGAAGGGGGGAAGTTATTCCCGAAAAAACAAAAAAAAAAACCGAAAAATGTTTTTTTTTTCTTATCTTTTATTTGTAAGGATAAAAAAAAAATGTTAAAACAAAAAAAAAAATTTTTTTGTGATGAGAAAAAAACAAAAAGAATAAGCAAAACCGTCTGGAAAATTTTTCATCGTCCAAAATCCCACGGGAGAAAAAGATATGATTGGGTTACGTCACGAGAAGAAAAAAAACAGTAGCAGCAGCAACGAAAACAATGAAAACTGTGATAAAACAATGTTTATTTTTTAAATTTTCACGAAATCATTTTTTTTTTTTTTATTGTGTCAACCCTTGGAAAAACAAAACAAAAAAAAACTGACGAAAATTTTTACTCATTTGAAAACTTGAAAACTTTAATTTAATATTTAAATATTCATGTGACCCCCATTTAAAAAAAAAAAAAAAAAGAAAATTCCATTAATAATTTCCAATAATAATAATAATAATCTTACATGTTATTTGATAAACTTGTGGAAAAAAAAATAAGAAACATCGTCTATGGCGACAACGACGACGACGACTACGACGTCACGACGGTTTCTTTTAATTATTATTATTATTATTATTTGTTAATTTTCAAATTAATGAAACGATTTTATTTATTTTTTTTCCTATTTAAATTTGTCAAAAAAATTACAACACGGTTGACCTATTTTTTAAATGCCCACGACGCCAACACGTCACCATTTTGTAATTTTCCACATTACCTTTTTTTTTTTTTTTTTTAATAGAAACGTTTTCCTCCCTCCCTCTTTCCCTTCCTCCTCTCCCTTCCTACAATATTTCAACCCTTTTTAAAACTTATTAATAATAATAATAATAATAATAATAAAAGGGTATGTTTGATTTAGTATACAGTTTATTTTTAACTTTTATCATTATCATTATTATTTAGTTATTTATTTT